CATAGCATAGGATAACATCCGGACAATTTGTACCGAAAACTGGTAGCATACTAGATTCTGTGAAAACTAGTACCTAGTCCAGCGTCCCTTTGCCCGAATCACTGCCTTGATCCTCCTCGGCAGGCTATCGATCAGGTTTGCACACACCTCCGCCGGTATCTTGTCCCATTCCTCCTGCACCCTCTCCCACAGCTCCAGCATTCCACTTGGCGGCTTTTCGTACTTCCCCAGCTGCCTTTTCAAGTGTGCCCACAGGTGCTCAATCAGGAGAAGGTCCGGGGAGCACGACGGCCATTCCAGCACCGCGTACTCCTGCTCCCCAAGCCAGTCTTGGACCAGACGAGACCTGTGCTTGGGATCATTGTCGTGCTGGAAAATGACCTCTGAGGGGGAAAGCTTGAAAAAATCGATGGTCTGTTTGAGCTCATCTTGCAAGATGCTGCGATACAGCGGCCCATCCATCCTGCCATCTATCTTGCACATGAACCCCACCCCCTCATACGTCATGCAACCCCACACCATCACAGAACCGCCCCCATGCTTAACTGTCTGTTGGACTTGATGGCTCCGAAGGCTGGTGCCCTCGCGAATCCAGGCGTACGCATTTGTCGGAGCAGTAGCGGTTTATCTTTGTCTCGTCAGACCAAATCACCCGCTTCCAGTCCTCCAGCGTCCAGTCGGCATGCGACCGCGCGAAGTCGAGACGATCTCGGATGTTTTTCGGTGAGAGCCTGGGTTTCTTGGGCTGATGCACGGCGATCAGCCCCGCGGATCGTAATGAGTTCCTGACCGTCTTCGAGTCTACGGCGAGATCGTGCTTCTCCAACAACATATATGCCGCGTCTACAGAGCTTTTCGCCTCGCCGCTTGTAATCGCGCGTATTATTCCGCACTGGAGACGGGTAGTGATTAAGCGGGGGCGGCCGACAGTAGGCATCGTAGGTCGCACCTCCTCGAGACTAGTCTCGGCAGCCACTTTCAAACCGTAATTGTGCACGGTGCTCTTGCCTATGCCAAGAACTTTGCCTATTTTCCTAGTCGAATGCCCCGCACGCAACATGCTTATGATTCGCGCGCGCTTCCGCTCATTTAACAGCTTCATGGCGATGCGGTCGTAGGCTCGCTCTCGGACTAACTCCTAAGCCAGCAACTATTGCGCGTGACGATGTACACACCGAGTGACGGGGGAAAATAGATCTACTCTTCCGCTCGGTAGGAAATGTCCGCATCGATAGTCGAGGAGTAAATTTCAACCCCACTTTCCGGTTGTGTCACAATCGCGCCAAGCAAGAAACGGTTGAAGCAGAACTCGAACACCTTGTAACGGAATGGCAAAAAACGGGTGTTACTATTTTCGAAACATGTGTGGCATAGCGATACGTTTCAAAGTGTTAAACATCCGGGCAATTTATTCCACCACTGTAAGACCGATCCGACGGCCCACATCCTGAAAGCTGGAAGTTTTGAAATCGATGGCCTTCAGTCAGAACAAAGTTGAATATTTGATCTTGGTAAATCTCGATTGTCGAAATCAGAGAAGTGTTGTGTGTTCGCCGAGTCTCAAAACACAGGTTGTTTCAACTCCTCTGTTTGTCGATGGACTTTCACAGGATGCAAACAACAAACTTCAATGCGTTTGAAGCCTTGGGCTTGCAATTTGGGCATGGGCCTTAAAGCGCGGATCCCAAAACCCCCGAAAGTCAAGTCCTAAGTTTTTGAGATCCAACCTCCGTTCACATGGTTACCCGTTTTGCCGGGCGACAACCCAAAATCCAACGAGAACGCCACTAATTGGCCCCCACTCCACACACACCCCCTCCCTGCAACAATCCCGCCTCTAATCCATCGCCCACCTTCCCCTCCCAGGTTTAAAAACTTAGACCATCGAGCAGTTTCGGGACTAGCTCGCCCAGGCAACAAGACATACTAGATCCAAACCATTTTTAAAGAACATTTCCAGTAGAAACTCTCGTGGCGCGGCAAATACGCAGCACCAAAGGAGTGCACGCACCCTCCCGCCTCACTCTCGCCTTGAAGCCGCGTCGTCTGGCAAAAAAAATTGCCTGTAGGATGCGATTTTACGCCGTACCGTTCTCCCACCCTTCCCGTCGCGACCAGCCCTCCTGCTGCTTGCGCGGGCCGCTGTCCGTGCTGCCCGCAGCTCACGCTCGCACTGCCCGCTGCCGCTAGCCGCTGTCCCCTGCCCGTGCTGCCCGCTGCCGCCCGCTACTCGTACTGCCCACTGTCCGCTGCTTGCTGCCCGCTACGCGCCGCCCACTACACTCCGCCCGCTGCTCGCCGCCTGCTGCTAGCCGCCCGCTGCGCGCAGCATGATGCTTGCCGTCTGCTGCCCGCTGCCCGCTGCTCGCCGCCTGCTGCCCACCTACTGCCCGCCCGCTCGTGCGCGCGCACAGCCGCCAGCGCAGCCGCTGCAACCGCAGTTGCAGCCGCGGGAAGGGGAAGGATAGAGGACGGACACGGAAAGGAAAGAGAGGTGGCAAAGGGGAAGGAGAGAGGGCGGGAAGGGGAAGGAGAGAGGACAGAAAGGGGAAGGAGAGAGGGTGGGAAGGGGAAGGATAGAGGACGGATAGGGGAAAGAGAGAGAGGGCGGGAAGGGGAAGGAGAGAGGACAGGAAGGGGAAGGATAGAGGGCGGGAAGGGGAAGGATAGAGGGCGGATAGGGGAAGGAGAGAGAGGGCAGGAAGGGGAAGGAGAGAGGACCGTATGGGGAAAAAGAGAGGACCATAGGGGGAAAGAGAGAGGACCATAGGGGGAAAGAGAGACGACCTTTGCCCCTGCACTCATGCTCGCCCCCGGCACCCATGCCTTTCCCTCGTTATCGGCGCCCTCCCTCAACCAACCACCCTCCTTCCCCGCAGGAGCTGGCAGCCTTCCGAGAGAAAAGGCAGAGAGAGTGAGGGCGAATTTTGTGCCCTTCCGTGCCCCTCTCATTGCCCTCAATCTCAGCGTCTTCCCCTCTCTTCCTCTCCTTGTCCCCCTCTCTTCCTCTCCGCTTCCCCCTCTCTCATCTCCCCCTTCTCCTCCCCCCCTATCCCACATTTCCCCCTCCCTCTCTCCCCATTTTATTTCTTCCCCCTGATTTCATTCCTCCCTCTTGCTCCCATTCTCTCCCCCTGCTTTCATTGCTCCCCCTCCCATTCTCTCCCCCTGCTTTCATTGCTCCCCCTCCCATTCTCTCCCCTTGCTTTCATTTCTCACCCTTCCATTCTCTCCCCCTGCTTTTATTGCCCCCCCTCCCATTCTCTCCCCATGCTTTCATTGCTCCCCCTCCCATTCTCTCCCCCTGCTTTCATTGCTCCCCCTCCCATTCTCCCACTGCTTTTGTTCCTCGTCCCTGCTCCAGTTCTCACCCCTTCTTCATTGTTCCTCCCCTCATGTCTTCAATTTCCTCCCATTCCTCTCCCTGATTCCTGTTGGAAATATCTCGAGGACTTCAGCGTTTCTGAAGTGTAACACCACACCCGAGGAAGATCGTAACGGGTACGCGAGTCAACGGAGGTTACACGAGGGGGTGGACAAAGAACACGAAAGGACTCAAAGGGTCTCAACCGGAGGTTGCGACTGATCGTTACAACTGCAAGGATGGTAACCGAAGCGACAATCGAGTCGTTGTGCGACTCGATAACCGCTCTTTCAACTGTATTCTACAACTTCTTTACTTTCCTACTTTCTATATATTGCTGTATGCTTGTTCTTTTAATCAATCACTTGCTCTCACATACTAGTGCAAGGGCTCAACTACTCAACTTCCGCTGCACTACTCAAGTATCTTGTACAACTGGGACTTAGTCTTTGAAAGATCCTAAGGGCTCTTTTCTCAGCCCAACAATTCCCTTCTCACCCCATTTTGCTGGTTTCAGGGCGGGCACAGCTGCCCTGGGGACATCACCTTTGGGTGCGCTTCCCTCCCCCTCCTTCCGCCTTCCCCTCCTTCCACCTTCCCCTCCTTGCACCGATCCCTCCTTCCACCTGTTCCTCCTTACCCCAACTCCCTTCCACTCAGAACCTGAGTACCTTGCTCCCCTCCCCCCTGCAGTCATGCTCAGCCCGAGCCTATCTGAAAATCTCTTGAGCTCGTCTCTCTCTCTCTCTCTCTCTCTCTCTCTCTCTCTCTCTCTCTCTCTCTCTCTCTCTCTCTCTCTCTCTCTCTCTCTCTCTCTCTCTCTCTCTCTCTCTCTCTCTCTCTCTCTCTCTCTCTCTCTCTCTCTCTCTGCCCATCTCTCTGTCCATCTTCCCGTCATCCCTTGCTCCCATAATCCTCCCATTTCCCCCTTCCCCCTTCCTTTCACTGCACGGATAAACTCTTGCAGGGGGTGCCATTTTCACCCGAATTTTAGCGCTTATTCGCATGTATGGATTTTTGGGGAATTCACAGGTGCATGCCATGAAATGAAATTTAAAAGCCCATGTGCTAACAAAAAGGGATTTGACCTGCTGTGTAATATTCGTAGCACTGTTTCCTTGTGTCCCTACTGCTGGACAAAATATGCAAGCCCATGCATTTATATTGACTCACGGTGTAATTTTGGTTGTAGGTTGATTGCATGCTTCTCTTATGTTTTATTTCGTGTCTTCCACATGGCCGGGTTTTTCACTGTTTCTTTTAGCATAGCGCGCTCCCTTGTGTTCTTACGACATATTTTGGCGCTGGGTGTGCTGGTGTGGGCTGGGCAACGTCTCGTGGGCTGGCGACACTGCTTATGCGGGGCGAGGTGGGGCTTTGTTCGAGAGGCCTTCATTGCCCCTCGCATCCAACCCACTTCCTTTGCTGCATTTCGTGATTCTCGCGAATTTCGCCCAAATCCCCTCTCAAAACCTACGTTTTTGACTTCGGGGGTTTTGGGATCGCCTACCCAACTCTCACGAATAGAGAGATAAGGGCTAAACGACTCCACGGAACTATCGGAGATGTCACCGAAGAGCTCGCAGGCATGCTTATGCGACTCGATGCACCGTGACCGGGAGCCACCGGCAGCCTCTCGTCGCATTCATCGGATGTGCGGTCACCTCAAAAGCAGCACAAGCTGCCGTGATGAGCCCCAACTCTAACTCACACGTAGCCGCCAGCGAGAAAGACCGACTCATCGAAGGAATGCGGCAAAATCGAGACGACATGCACGAGGTGCAGACGACGATTACACACGTGCAGACGATGACGACGACGACATGCAACGAAGGCGGGCTGGACACAAAAGCAGCAACCGCCTACGTCATGGAGCAGCAACCATCGCCGAAGTCCACCGCATCTTATGCAGAAGAAAATTCACAGCAATGACAGCAGCAGGCCGAAGCAAGGGGGAATCGAGTCGGGAGTTCCCCAATCTCAACACCTAAGAACATCTGTTCTTGTTACAAACCGTATACACCTGGATATAAGCGCAGCCATATATTCAGCCCATGGGCTTATACAGTGCGAACGCGCTTATATCTGTTAATTTCATTATAAGCGCACCTTTTTTAGGATGTGTTTATTATCAGCGCATTACATTTCTAGAGAAAACGATCGCAACACAGATTTACTTTTGTATCGAAATATCGTGCCATACCTCTCGCAGCCTCGCAAGACATGCACGCAATTTCCTCTCGATAAATTCACTTGATTTCGGCTCCGATGGGCTAGATTCCAGCAAGGATTTGCTGGCGGAACAATCACAAGCGGATTCTACAAAAATTATCAACACAGACCCAATATGAGTTTGGCCCATTCGAAAAGAAATCCTAAGAGCTAAAGTTTGGTGCCTTCAAAACTTTTTTCCTTATAGTAATTTTATTACGCACATGCGCGTAAATAAAGCGTATGTGATTTTGCGAGAGGTTCCATTATAAGCACATATGCACTTATATATGTAATGAAGCGCAAAGAGCGTGTGTCGAAGGATTGAGTGACGAGAAAAACAATACAACTGAGGCAACATCAAAACAGCAGGGAGCATGGATATAGCTAGCCTAGAGCGCACTGTCGTGGCTCGGCAGAGCTACGATGGGTGGTTTGTAAACTGGCGCGAAGCACCCAGATCTAGGCATGAAACAGCAGGGCAGGCAAAGTGCATGCGGCTCGTCAGGAGGCCACATTTGGGTACCATGATTTGAATTTCGTGGCAAAGTTGCGCGTCAACCCTATTATAGCAGTGTACGCCTTACTAACTAGAGCCCGTGATAAGTCCCTGAGGTGAGCTCACTTCCCTAAACTCACTTTTTCTGAGCTCACTTCCCTGAGCTCAGTTCCCTGAATTCACTTTCCTGAGGTGAGCTCACTTCACTGAGATCACTCCCCTGAGCTCATTTCCCTGAGCTCACATCCCTGAGGTGCACTCACCTCCCTGAGCTCCTTGAGCTCACTTATCTGAGCTCATTTCCCTAGGCTCACTTCCCTAAGCTCGCTTACCTGAGGTGAGCTCACTTCCCTGGGCTCACTTCCCTGAGCACACATCCCTGATCTCACTTCTCTGAGGTGAGCTCACTTCTCTGAGCTCACTTCCCTGAGCTCACTTCCCCTCCAAGGTATTGTCTAAACCAAGACCGCCGACGTCGCACACATTGCGTGACTAGAGGTAGACTCGTAACACTGGTTATTCTTGATATGTGCCAGGGGCACCCAACTGTTTTCCAGGGCCGTCCGATCCTTCCAAGATATCAGAAACTTGATCAGGCGAGCCCCTTGAGGGTCCTTGATCCGATGGCTAGGAACCTTTGCAGGTTTGACAGTGGGCTCGGCGAGCGGTCGGATGTTCGGATTCACTCGGTGACATGGTAATTTGCTGGTGCTGGAGCTGTACGGTTACAGTAATCGCACCTGGAATGATGGGCTGACGTTCCAAGTGGGCGGTAACAGTAGATGGGCTGTAACGGAAGATATCATGTGGCTGATAGTAAATGGTTCACAGTAGCGAGGGCAAAGTCTGGGGACTATGGGCAGTCAAAGGTTTCGGGTGTTGAGTAGTACTAAGTCTTAAGCCTGGTAAGTTACTGCTCGTCGGTGTAGATCGACGTTGCGCTTAGAAATAACATTCGCACGCTTAATGGCTTCAGCTGCTCGCTCCCAAGCATTCTGTAAAATTTCGGCGAACTGTTGGGCTCGAGGTACAGGATTTTCGATGTTGGGCATGATTCGTATTGTAGGGTTCTGCCCGTAATTCAGGTAGAATGGTGACTGTCGTGTAGTGGCTGACGGGGCGTTATTATTCGTGAACTCAATCAGTGGTATTTGCTGCTCCCAGTTGTCTACATCGTCGCAGGTGGCACGAATCAGTTGCTCCATCGTCTGATTGGCCCGTTCGGTCTGTCCGTCAGTCTCGGGGTGGTAGGCCGAGGAGAATTGAAGGCACGCGCCAAACCTTTCCCAGAGGTTGTGCCAAAAATTAATGGTGAATTTCGTGTTACGATCTGAAATGATGGCAGATGGAATTCCGTGGAGGAGGACGACGATTGAGATGAAAAGGCGGGTTGTTTCTTCGACATTTTGACTTGCGGTGTCCCGGCCTGTTACACCCGAAGCAACGACCCTTGAAGGTTGTAAATGCTGAGTTTGATATTGTAACAGCGTGTACAGTGGCACGCTCGATTGGTCCCCGAGTGCGACTTCCATCATAAGAGCCCACCCTTGGCTTGAAGAACGAATCCAACCGCTCCGCAACCCTCTGTGCCTCCATCAAATATGTTATATCTCTGACATGTATTTCTATGCGCAGATCCGGTCGAAGTTCCCCGATGTATCTGTCGAATTTCTCGTCAGGGTAAATGTAGCCGACCTGGTCGCATATTTTTTTGAAGCTGTTGGTGTAGTTTTGGATCGATCCAAGTTGGCGCCACGTGCGAAGGCGGTCGCGCGCTTGACTGCTTGCATTAACTTGTTCGAAGCAGCGATGAATTCCTGCGCACCACGATTGTTACGTGCTGCCACCAATACATCGCCGGTCCATGTAGGAGCGACACGGCGTATCAGATTTTTTGCGCTTCGTCGCTGACAAGGTTGCAGTTGTAGAAGACATTCTGGTAAAAAATCCACCCGCTGACGGACAAGCAATCACTCTAGCTCGTGTCCAACGTGGGCGGCCTCTGCGTCTTGAGAATTCCCGGCGCCATCTTGATGTTCGCAGTTTGCAGGAAAGTTGGAGAGAAAAGTGGGGCGGGAGATTTACGTTCGTCCTTTCGCCAACTTTCGCTCGTCCAATAGCTGGTGGCGGGTTGTTCGTCCAACCCTCCGGAGAAGCCGTATGTGGTCGTTGATTGTCGCCAGGTATTTCAGAACGCTGCTGGGTTACTTGCTCTTGTTGTCCTTGGTTTGTCATTGGTGGGATTGTGTCATGTCGTGTCTGAGGCATTTGGCTCGGAACTGCAGATATCTCAAATTCAGCTTGGGCCGCTTCAGCTCGCAGACGCACCAACTCCTGCTGGTACAACTCGTGAGTAAGGGCGTATTTCTATTTCAGTGCGTTCAGTACCATGAACCAAAGTTTGCAAACTATCGAATTGAACCGTACAGGAATAAACATTGCGACAATCGGACCTCACTGTATCGCGTTTCCGACTCGATTTTGGGTTTGCTGGTACTGAACACTGTCCTGTAGGAATACGCCCTAAGACAGACATATTCAAGTGCTGCCGCCCTTTCTTCAGAAGTCATGGCGTTAGACGGCGACGACTCCACCATTTCGCAAAAGTTTTGGGCGGCTTTCGGTACGCTGGCACTGTGAACACAGCCGTGGTTGTAGGTAATTATTAATTAATATTACCAGGACAATCAAAGTGAGAATAAATAACTAGAATGATGCAAACATATTGGTTTTGTCTAAGGGGTTGTACCCTCTAAGAGTACGCACCTATCTAGCCTATAAGACATATCCAAAATATGTTTGACACACCCCCTAGGTTAGATGAGGGGCAATGCCTAGCAAGAGACACACAACTCAGGGTGGCACTACCAGTCCAACCTCTGAGACAGGGAACCGAAGACCAGTCAGCAAGAGTACAAACTAAACAAGGGCAATCCAGGGCGGTGCTACTAGTCCAACCCATGGGACAACGACCACAAGATAATATAAAAGTAGTACACAATCAAGTTCCTAGCAAGTGAGACACTACATGAACTAGACCAAGCTACAATATACCCAGTGCCACTGATGATCTTAAGGCGCAAGCGCCTTCGTAAAGATATCAGCTGTGTTGGCACCGGAGGCCAAGTGTACTACGCGGGCCTGGCGGCACTGCTGCAGCTCGCGCAAGAGGAAGTACCGCAGCGAGATGTGCTTTACTCTGCCCTCCAATCGAGGCTCCTGACACAAGAGGATCATGGCCCTATTGTCAGCGTACATGACTGGGCCAGAGCTAGGCCGCTCACCTAAGTCGGTGAGCAAGAATGTCAGCCAGCGGAGCTCCTGTGTCGCCATGGCACCGGCGTAGATCTCAACCTCAGAACTAGACTGGGCAACAGACGACGAACGAGTGGACCGCCACGAGACGACCCCTGCACCAAGGCTAAAGTAGTAGCCCTGGGAGGACTTGAGCGTCTCAGCGTCATCTGCCCATGAAGCGTCTATGTGCCCTGTAAGGACCACAGTCCTGGGTCCTCGTAGCACTAGCCCCATGCCCGATGTACTTGCTATATAACACAAAACCCCTCTTAGCGGCCGACTAGTGCTGCGGGCGGTGTCTGTCTGTGGCCACAAAGCGAGCCCGGATGCAGAGAGGGTATGCAAGATCTGGACGAGTGCTAGTCATCAGGTACATGAGGCAGCCCACGAGCTCTGCGTAAGGACCACTAGGCTCTACAGACTCCTCAGGGACTGGAACCGAGAGCATGTGATCTACTGGCAGAGGTGTGGGCTGTGCAGAAGAGAACTGAAGGCCGAAACTCTTAAGGACCTGAAGCACCAAGTGTGACTGTGATAGAGTGATGGTGCGCCCTGCTCTGTCCCTGGAGGTATGCAGGCCAAGGTAGCGGCATAGCTCTCCCAGGCCAGTGCAGGTGTGTCTCCTCAGTAGCTCGGCCTTCACGGAGGCCAGTGCATCTCTGTTTGCAGTAGCAAAGACCAGGTCATCTATGTAGACAAGGATGTAGCACGGGGTCTGGCCAGCACGAACGAAGAGCAAAGGGTCTGCAGACGACGGGAAGAACTATAGGTCAGCTAACGTAGCACGCAGCGTGTCGTGCCCCTCACGGGGCGCCTTTCGTGCCACTCACGGGCCGTAGACGCGGCACCAGAGGCTCCACTGGGCATGTCAGGCACGTCGGCCTTCCGCTCCATGGGGAAACACCGTGGTGTAGCGCGTGTAGTCATCGACAAGCACTAGAAAGTAGCACTCTGGACTCGGCCCAGGGACGGGGGCTGGGCCCCAAACATCAAAGTGCAGGGTGTGGAGTGGCG